CGGGACTTGATCCCAGGACCCTGGGATCATGACCTGAGCCAGAGGGAGATGCTTAACTGACTGGGCCACCCAAGCGTCCCTAACATTTTTTTTGAGAGGAATTTTTATGTTCCATAGTGGGTGCGTTTTTGGTTGTTTCTATATATCCCATTTCACCAGTGACTTTTTACAGAGTGAAATTCTGTACAATAAGAAAAACCCTCTTAGCCTCTTCATTTCCCTCACTTACTAGTAAGTCTGGATATAATATAATTGATGAATATAATTTTAAGTCTGGTATATCCAGTTTTAGGAAATACATTTTAATTGAAGAGGCAGTATAAAATGCTTTGCATATTGATGAGATGGTCTCATGTAACAGATATTTTGAACACTCTTAAATTTAAATATTCATTATGTGATTTTGTATGATTTATCCTTATATCTCATAAAATGATGCACACCCATGTCACAGTTTCATTCCTTGCTGGTTCCAGAGAAATGTATTCTGTATCTATTGTTTAGAAATAATACATTTAGTGAAAGAACCTAAATATATGTTTAATAGTTTGAGAACATAATAGGTAAAACTTATTAAAGATTTTTATTTATTTATTTTAGAGAGAGAATGTGTGTGCCTGTGCCAGGACTGTGCCCTATCCCTCAGGGCAGAGGGAAAGGGAGGGAGAAAATCTCAAGCAGACTCCCTGCTGAGCGCAGAGCCTGACACAGGGCTCAGTCCCATGACCCTGAGATCATGACCTGAGCCGAAATCAAGAGTCAGACGCTTTTACCAACTGAGCTGCCCCTAATAGGTGAAATTAAAATATAATTGTGACAGCAGTTTTTATTTTCAGTACTTTTCAGACTTTATTATATACCTGTGTTTTTATAGTACAAATATACAAAATGCCAATGGAGCTCTGTTGTGATTTGCTCCAAACCTTCTTTTTAGATTTGATCCAGACCGGTTTGATGATGAATCGATGATGAAAACTTTCTCCTTGCTTGGATTCTCAGGCGCACAGGAATGCCCAGAGTTGAGGTGAGTGATAGAGAAAGGAAAGATGCCAGACTTTATACTTAGAATTTTGATGATGACTGCTGATGAGAATGAGCAGTCTATATAATTAAAGCATAATTGTTAATCTTTAGTAACCAGTCAACGTTCTTCCTGACTAGGTTTGCATATATGGTGACCACAGTACTTCTGAGTGTATTGGTGAGGAGGCTGCACCTACTTTCTGTGGAGGGACAACTTATTGAAACCAAGTATGAACTGGTAACATCACCCAAGGAAGAAGCTTGGATCACTGTCTCAAAGAGATATTAAAATTTTATACATTTAACTTTCTTGAGGATATTGATGGTTTAAAAAGTCTGTATTGAATCCTTTTATAAATCAAGTAATACTATGGAATATAAATACCTACTAGTACTTCATTATGTAAATTTGGGTTTTTGCATGTCAGACTTTCTTAATGCATTAAATACATTCATACTTATTGCATCAATATAATGATAATTTTAACAGGAAGCTCTCTGTTTTAATTTTTGTTTTATCACGTTCTTTTTTTGTTGTATTTTGGTTTTTGTTTTATCACTTTCTATGCCATTATCTTCATTTTATTTTTCTTAGTTTGATCTCTAATATTCTTGAAGAGAGACATTATTTTCCACACTTTGGGGAATCATGTTTTCTGAATATTCATAAAAGGGAAACATAATCCTAACTTCTTTTCATACTTTAAATCACTTCAAAGGGGGAAAACAAGGACTTCCCATAATTTTATTTCTTGGGTAATTTTATTTCTTGGACTAGTATTTTTATTTTCTAAATATAAATTAGCTTATGTTTAATCATTGTTATTAGGTTGAATAACCCACCTTGTATTTGCTTACTTTGATGCCTCCCAGATAATAGTGTTCATTTCATGACTTATACAAGGCTCATCATTTTAAATGGTTCTGAGTCATTTGGAAATGACTGAATGTGTTTTGAAGTGCTCCTTCTAAGTAACAAACTAAAACTGAGGCTTGTCTTTCCTTCTGTTTTGCTGCAAATTTTAGTAGCACTATATTACTTCACCAATTCTCATTTGTGGGACAAACTGAATTCCTAATTTGTTACTATTATGTCATATTATGTCACATAATGAACTTAATGATTAAGAAACAAGAAAGCACTAACCACAAACCAAAACCAAATTAAAAAAGAAAATTGCAAAATATATGACAAGGATGATATCCATATGATATATAAATAGTTTGAATAAATTGGTAAGAAAACATAATAGATAAATGGCCAAAAGACATGAATAAACAACTTTTAGAAGGGGAAATAGCTATTCAACTTTTAGAAAAAAGGGTCAGCCTCACTAATAAGCAAAGAAATATTGGGGCTATTTAAAAAATATTTTTAACTGTCTTTGAAAATTTACACTGAGTACTGATAAGTTTTATATTTAATACTTTTTTATTGATAGCACTGTAGTTTAGTTCACTTTTTTTGGTTACATTGTTCTTGAAAAAAAATTTTTTTTAAGACAACAACTTGAGGAAATGCCAAGTGCAGATAGAGAGGAAAGGACGAAAAATGATAACTGTTTGCAAGTGGGTTTATTTTTGACACTGCTGAATTCCTCTTGTAATTTTAGTTTCAAGGGCTCTTCCACACTTTGTACCCTAGTTATTGAGTTATTTTATGCTATGTTTATGGTCAGATAGCTAACATTTTAGAACTAGTTAGGAGTGATTAAGACAGAATTTAAGTAATTAGATGCAGCTTTTATTTCTGACAAAAATATTTAATTTATGGAATAATTTAAATTCTAAAACTGTAAGTGAAATGTATTCTTAGTTCCCAGCATCACGTTGTTTCCAAAAAGGCACACTGTTAAATTCCCTCCCATCATTTTGTATGGTTTTGTGGATATAGAGCATCTTCCTTTGTTATCCAAGTACCTTAACTGGTTTGGAAACTGGCAGTGGAAAGTTAGGAGTAGGCACTTGATATGTAAACCAAGTGTCAGTAAAATCAGATGAGATAAGTGGAATTTTAAAGCAAGTGAGACCTGATCAGCAATGATCAAGGCAAAAACAGGGCAGCTGAGCCAGAGAGTGAGAGAATTGGCATATTGCCAATATATGAGACAATGTATAATTACTAATAATGATTTGAATTGAGGAAAATAAGAGAATCAGCTAAATAAGCACGTTTTATCCATGGTTACGTGACCAACTTAAAACATTACACATAAATTATCTTCTAGAGGATTTTTTAAAAATAAAAATACTGTCAGTCCATTCACTGTTGTTCTTACTTCGCCCTTAGTATTTATCAAATGACTGGAATTGAAGTAGCCTCAGTGTCACTAATGGCTTGTAGCTTGACTGTAAGCAGGACTCTTAAATTCTGTAGCTTTTTGGGTTTTTTAAAACTATTTCTTACCTGATTTTGATCTGCATTCTTTTCAACTGTTGAAAAGTTTACTGTTAAAAACACCAGCACAGGGCACCTGGGTGGCTCAGGCGGTTAAGTGTTTGGCTCTTGATTTCAGCTCAGCTTGTGATCTCAGGGTTATGAGATTGAGCCCTGGGTCAGGCTCTGCGCCAGGTGTGGAGCTTGCTTAAGATTCTCTCTCTCCCTTTCCTCCTCCGCCCCCTTGCCATCTCTTAAAAAAAAACAAACACATTTTTTTATGGAAAGAAAGGGCTCTTTCACACTTTGTGCTAATAAAATTCAAGGCAGAATTGATTCTGTGCATGTGTTTGGGAAAAATGAAAAACTCATGTGCTGTTTTATCTGGCCCATAAATGTGCAGTTCCATTTTCTTATATAAGTAGATTCTATCTTATTTATAGACCCTATGTAAAAATTTGTTTGTCTTCTTTATCTTAAAATAGTTTATATTTTAAAAACAAAATGTTCTATTTTTTGTCATGAAAATTATATAGGCTTGCTGTAGAAAAATCTTGGAAATACAGAAACACAGAAATAGGAAATTTGGTCACCTGTAGTCCCACTACTTGGAGTTAGTCGTAAACTTCTGGGGTAGATGCTTCTACTCTCTTTTATATCCACTTGTAATTTTTACAGACATACTATATATAATATTCTCTTCATGTAATATCTGATCAACTAGTAGTGTTTTCTACAATTGAAACATTAATATTCTCACTCAGAACATAAGCACAGATTTTCATCATTCTTTTTCTCTCCTCTTTCCCTTTGTGGGTATTGTTATTCTTTTCAACTTTAAGATTCTACTTATTTATTTATCTGTCAGAGAGAGAGAGAGCGAGCACAAGCAGGGGAGCGGCAGGTAGAGGGAGAAGCAGGCTCCCTGCTGAGCAAGGGCCCTGACGTGGGACTTGATGGGAATCATGACCTGAGCTGGAAGCAGACATTTAACCGACTGAGCCACCCAGGCATCCCTATTCTTTTCAACTTTAAAAATGGCTTTACTTCTTCCTCCATTTATCAAAACAGTAATTTATATGTTTGTACATCTGAGTTGCTAAAGCCATAGACTAGCCTATGGTGTTGCAATGAGCGTTTAAAAAATGAAATTATTCTTCTATCCTAAGAAAAATATAATTTAATTCAGATTGAGGTGGCATTTCAACTTTTAAGAGGAAATCTTAAGAATTTCTATTTTTTTTTTTTAACTCTGGGGCGAATAGATTAAGATTCTTCCCTTGAAGCCATCTTCATTTTTTTTCCTCCAGATCCATGAAAAGTGCAGTTAACCCATAAAGTGTGCTTTTTGACATGTGGTTATGTTGACAGATTGAAAACTGCCTAAACACAATTCTACTGAGTCTATATAAAAGTGGGGACGTGACCAGTAAACATCAGGGAGTAGGTTTAGTAGCCCTGAGAGGATAGATTGTAAGAGAAATGGACACTGTTTTCAAGGGCAGGTTTATATAATATCAAGAAATTGATTGAGTGACCTTATTTCTCTTCTTAGTCAGTCCTTTGCCTGCTTTCTAAGTTACTAAGACCAATTATTAAGGTAGAAGGGGAGGGCAGAGTGGGGCAGGTAGGACAACAAAGCAGTTACTGTTACTACAGAAGTCAGAGGAAATCAGCACAGCCAGAAAGGCTTCGTACAATGATGCTTTGAGGCACCTGGAGTGACCTCCACTGTCACAAAGGAATGAGACTGGAAGTTGCAGCAAGAGTTAAGTTCAAAGTGGAAAGGGGAGTGGAAGGAGTGTTTGTTATAAACCAAATACTTTATATACCTATCTCATTTAGTCTTTTAGAGCTTGACAGTAGGTTCAGTGACAAGCTAAAATAGTTCTTCATTCCTGCTGGAAGAAATACTATAAATGAATACAGGCATATATTTGCTGAGAAATAGAAAGTAAAAGATCTAAATTTCAAATTATCTTAGTATCTTCAGTGGGGTTTATTGGTGTATTTTGTTATTTAAGAGGGAATCAAGCAATAGTTTCAAATGATACAGTGTTCATAATAACTAAAGAAAATGACTAAAAAGGGTATTGTAAGAGCAGTATTAAAAGAAATCTTAAAGGAAACTAATGCTACCAACTCAACCGTAGCTGTATAACTGATTAAATTTTTTCCTATTTCTACATATGTATATTTTTACACATTGCAATCATAACTATATGGTTTGCTTAGTGAGTTTTCAACATTTTCCTTTGTTACTTTTATAAGGGCTTTGGGGAAATGATTTTGGGGGTGGGATGGGAATAGATTTGAAAATCTGTAAATCAAACACTACATTTATTTTTATGACACCGAGTGAATGGATAATTGTAAAATTGGAGTTGGGAGCCGTTTTGTAAAACATCCAGGCGATAAACCAAAGGACAGGAAATGACATTCCTCTTCCAGTTCCACTCCCTTGTTGAATCTAGAGACTGGGAATGGATCTTGTTATATAGCAGGTGGTAAGATGGCATGAGCAAATAATATCCTGTTTGGTAATTTTATTTTTTAATTTTTGTGTTTGGTAATTTAAAAAAACCCCACAAATTTATTTATATCTAAAAGACTTGCAAATTCTTGTTACAATTTTTAACACAGAAGAGTAGGAAATAAAACTGTGTACTTGACCATTGTAACTATGTTCTAAAGTTGTAAAGTGCCTGTCTCCAAAAAGACAATCAATAAATATTTTTAAATAAATGAGTGAGATCTTCATTGAGGTTTTCTGTGCATGTAGAATAAAGGTGATTATTTAATAGTTCAAAAAGTTTTCCAGGTAGCCAAACTACCTCTAATGCTAATAATACTTTGTTGATATGCTAAGTATCCGATTACTAGAAGTATTTAAGATGTTATGTGTACATCTTTCAGTGATGCCTGTATCAGGTGTGAACATAGATTTAGAATAGGCTGTAGTTGTACAAAATATCAACCAAAATATTGGTAAGCAAGTAGTCCTTTCTCCCTTCTGTATCTATCACCAGATATCATTAAACCAGGAAATGTTTAAGGAACACAGTTTTGTTTAATTAGGTTAGCGAG